GTGGCAGTCTGCTTCCATAAAGATTACAGCCTTGGAAACCCTATGGGGCAGTTCTACTCTGTCCTATAGGGTTGCTATGAGTTGGAATTGACTTCACCACCAGCAGGTTTGGTTTGGGTTTTTTATGGTCCTATAGTCAGTTGTGGAGAGAAGGGATTCATAAAATAAAAAGAAATTTAAGTTTAATATGGGAGGCAGAATAAAGTAGCAAAAGGAAAGCATGTCCTGTAGTGCTGAATGAAATGTTTGCTTTATGAATTTTGCTACATATCAGAACACTGATATATAAATGATAATGTATACATACGAATGTGTGTATACATATTTATATATTTATATATACATATATCAAAGGAGCCCTGGTGGTGCATCGGTTAAGCACTCGACTGCTAACCAAAAGGTTCATGGTTCGAACCCACCCAGTGGCTCTGACTCCGAGGGAGAAAAGACCTGATGATCTGCTCCTGTAAAGATTCCAAACCAATAAAACCAAACCCATTGCCATCGAGTCAGTTATGACTCATAGTGACCCTATAGGACAGAGTAGAACTGCTCCGTAGGGTTTCCAAGGCTGTAATCTTTACGGAAGCAGATGGTCATATCTTTCTCCCGCAGAGCTGCTGGTGTGTTTGACCCTTTAGTTAGCAGCTGAGTGCTTAGGCACTGCACCACCAGTGATCCTCTTCTGTAAAGAGTACAGCCTAGAAAACCCGATGGGGCAGTTCTACTCTGTCACATTAGATTGCTATAAGTAAAAACTTGACTTGATAGCACTTATCAGCAATATGCATATATCATAGAAAAAAGTATATGGCTGGGCTGCTTGTGTGGAAACTGGCTTCATAAAAACAAGGATTTATTTTAAAAAAAAAATCTACTGGGTATCTCTTCTATATTAGTCATTGTTCTGGTTACTGTGGACAGAGGTAAGACAATGTCCCTGCTTTCAAAGTGCTCAACATTCCTCATGATGGAAATAGATGGACAGTTAGGATCCACTATGTTAAGTGCTCTCTGATAGAGGTGAGCACAGGAAACAAACCCTGGGGATGAAAATAGCCATTTCAGAGAGAAGCATCTTCCTCCAGGGAAACAGTGCATAAAACCACATCAGATCTGCTGTGTCTTTATCTGGTGCCTTTATGTCCCCCATCAATGTGCACATGATATTTTAGTGTTATACTATATATTTTCAGGTATTCTCCCTAATTTCCATGTCTCAAAAAATGATTCTAGGGTTTTAGGTACTAAATTTTTAAGGTACTGCAGAAACATTGGATGTTCCAACATTGAAAAATGTCACATCAATTGATAGTTTCCTGGAACAACTTATACTAACATTTTTTCTGAATGTAGTGTAGTATGAACTTGATTATAAATAGCCTAAGGTTTATAAGGTGTTAGTGAAAAAACAAAAAAGTGTCAAATTTGCTATCGTGAAGTATTTTTTTTCTTGGACAAAAATGTGAATGTCTTAGGTGCTTTCATCACCAAATTTGGGAGTAGAAAGATATTATGAATGCAGAATATGGTTTTATAACAAGTTTGTATGCATCTACTGGGGCTACCAAATACAGGCCTAAAGGAACTGCTTTAATACAGAAAAGTAAATGTTTAAAATTTTAAGTCAAGGAGTTGACATTCCCTGTCTAGTGTACTTGGATTATATGTTCCAGGAGGCAATCCAGATGTAGGTGCAGGACATTTAGCAGTAGCTGGATACCTGCATCTCAGGGACAGACACTTAGTGGAGAGGCTTCTAGGAAGACAGCCTCATTGTAGACTGATTCTACCTCATACAATAAGCAGCTGCTGCTGTGGCTGGAGTCAAAGCAGGTATACAAGTTTGAAGGAGCAACTCCTGGACATCAAGACCAGACTTCGGTAGTCCATAGCCCAGCCATAAGCTGCAGAATACAATTCATAAGCAGACTTCCAGAGAAGCAGAGGGGACAACAGGAAGAATGCCAGAGTTACAGTGTCTAAGATCTGATGCTGAAAGAGTGAAAGCAAGACACTTGAGTGAGGGAGGTCTCAGGTACAGAGATGGCAAAGGTCTGCTCTCTTGGGCCACTGGCCATGGCTGGGAAGTAAGGAGCCATGCCCCTTCAGATGCTGATCAGCCTCAGTAAATTACTGACCACAAACATTTTTTTAACTGAGAGGTTTCTAAGAGGATATTTAAAGTATGTTAAGTAGACTTTAAAATAACATTTTTCTATTAAGTGGCACAACCAAATCGATTTTTTTAAATTATAGTATTATACATCATCTTGTTGCTTGATTTACAGGATTACTGTTACATCGTGTACTTATTTGTTTACTTGTCTGCCTACCTCAACTAGATCATAAGTTTCTTGAGGGTAAAGCTTATATCTATTTCTTGCATAGTACAATGCCTATAACAAAATAAATGTTAAGAATCAATTAAAAAGTTTACCCAGCTTTTCCTTATATCTTCAAATTAATTTGATCTCATTCTGTCTTTGATATTACAGCAAAGCATAGAAAGTTTTCCTCAAAACCAGTTGTACTCACAGAGGCCCAGAAACAGCTTATGATATGCCACCTACCTCAGGTTCTCAGACTACACCTCAAACGATTCAGGTAAGTAGTATTAACAGTTGCCTGCCAACTAGTTACTTCTAACTTAATTATTCCTTGTATTTATAGTGCTTCAAAATGGACATGTATCTATTTCTCTTTTTTTAAAAAAATAAATAAATAAATTCTGGTCATTATCTTTAGCCCTGACCAGCAGATACCATGTTCAATGAGAAACCTGATGGGTGTCCCTTGTAGAATACATTGCTAACTGGCAGCCTTATCACATTTTGGTCTGCTACGTAATATTTTTTTCTTAGTAAATTTAAATCTGCTTATAGTCTCTAACCAGTTTATTTTAGGTGTAATTTTTTTTTTTTAACTTAATTTGTAACTTAAGAGTATTTGGCCCAATTGCATTATCCTTGGAAAATATTTGATCAAAGGTATAGCAATTCAATTTGAACTAGTTAAAAAAAACCCACTCTAGTCTTCTGAAATATGTTCAGTCAGGTGAATTAATTGGAAAATCTGTTGGAAAAACTGTATGGTTTCATACTATGTGTTAGCCATGTTTACCTGAGGGGCTTATTGTTTAAGATATTGACCTTAATGAGGTGCACTGAGGAAGTTACTTAATGTGCTATCATTTGAAAACTACTGAGGCCATATTTCTTACATACTAGTTGTTGCTGGGTCGTTGGTTTTTTGTTTTTTCTGATTTAAGAGGTTCATTTTACATATGATAAAATTCACCAATTTTCAGTGTACTTTTTTTAACTGCCCACTCTCCACTCCTCTCACCACCTGGTAACCACCAGTCTTCTTTTGTCTGGATAAATATACCTATTCTAGATATTTTATGGAGTCCCTGGGTGACACTACAGTTAAGTGCTAAACTAGTAACCGAAAGGTTGGCGGTTCTAGTCCCCCAGAGGCATCTCAAAAGAAAGGCCTGGTGATCTATTTCTGAAAGATTACAGCCATTGAAAACTCTGTGGAGCACAGTTCTATTCTGACACACATGGGGTAATCTTGAGTCAGAATAGACTCAATGGTAACTGGTTTTGTTTTTTAAAGATACTTTATATTAGTAGAATCATATGATATTTGTCCTTTCATGTCTGGCTTATTTCACTTAGCATAATGTTTTCAAGGTTCATCTATGAACCTCAGTGATGTGTATCAGAACTTCATTTCCCTTTATGGCTGAAGAATACTCCACTGTATGTATATGCCACATTTTGTTTATCCATTCATCTGTTGATGGGTACGTGGATAATTTCCATCTTTGAGCTATTATGAATAATACTGAAATGTACATTAGTGTATATGTATCTGTTTGTATCATTGCTTTCAATTCTTCTGGGCATATACTAGAAGTAGAATGCTGGGTCATATAGGGTCACTATGAATCGGAACTGACAGCAACAGGTTTGGTTTGGTTTATGGTATTTCTATGTTTAACTTTTTTAGGAACTGCCAAACTGTTTTTCACAGTGATTACATTCCCAATAGCAGTGTACAAATGTTCCCATTTCTCCACATCCTCTCCAACACTTGTTATTTTTTTATAATTGCCATTCTATTAAAGTGTAAAGTGGTATCTCATTGCAGTTTTGATCTACATTTCCCTGTTCCCTGATGACTAATGATATTGAACATCTTTTCATGTGCTGGTTGGCCATTTGTTATTTCTTCTTTGGAGAAATGTCTGTTCAAGTCTGTCTTAGTTATCTAGTGCTGCTATAACAGAGAAATACCACAAATGGATGGCTTTAACAAAGAAAAATATATTCTCCCACAGACTCGGAGGCTAGAAGTCCAAATTCAGGGTGTCAGCTCCAGGGGAAGGCTTTCTCTCTCTATTGGCTCTGGGGAAAGATCCTTGTCATCAGTCTTCCCCTGGTCTACGAGCTTCTCAGCACAGGGACCCCGGCCGGGTCCAAAGGACATGTGCTCCTGGCTCTTCTTGCTTGATGGTAATGAGGTCCCTCTCTCTGCTCCATTCTTTTATATCTCAAAAGAGATTGACTCAAGATACAACCTGATCTTGTAGATTGAGTCCTGCCTCAACATAATCACCTCTAATCCTGCCTCATTAACATCATAGAGATAGGATTTACAACACATGGGAAAATCACATCAGATCACAGAATGGTTGATAATCACACAATAGTGGGAATCTTGGCCTAGCCAAGTTGACACACATTTTTGGGGGACACAATTCAGTCCATAACAAAGTCCCTTACTCGTATTTTAATTGGGTTATTAGCTTCTTTGTTGTTGAGTTTTAGGAGTTCTTTATATATTCTGGATATTAAACCCATCTCTGATATGTAGTTTCCAAATATTTCTGCTCATTCTATAGGTGGTCTTTTTACTTTCTTTTAATAATGTCTTTTGATGAAATCCGGTTTACCTATTGTTTCTCTTGTTGCACTTGGCTTTTGGTGTCATATCTAAAAATCTGTTGTTTAAAAGAAGGTCCAGAAGCTTTACTGTTATGTTTTCTTCTAAGAGTTTTATGGTTTTAGCTCTTAAATTTAGGTCATTGATCCATTTTGAGTTAATTTTTATATATGGTTTGAGGTATGGATCCATGTTCATTCTTTTGCATGTGGAAATCCAGTTGGCTCAGCACTGTTTGTTGAAGAGATTATTTTCCCCATTGAATGGATTTGGCACTCACATCAAAAATCAGTTGGTATTAGATATATGGGTTTATTTCTGGATTCTCAATTCTATTGCATGATCTGTAAAAACCAGTTGTCAAGTTTATTCTGACTCATAGCAACCCCATATGTGTTAGAGTAGAACTGTGCTCCATAGGGTTTTCAATGGCTGATTTTTCAGAAACAGATTGTCAGGGCTTTCTTCCAAGGTGCCTCAGCGTGGACTCAAACCTCCCAACCTTTTTCGGTTAGCAGCTGAGTGTGTTAACTGTTTGCAACACCAAAGGACTCCCCATTGTTCCATATGTCTGTCCTTAAACCAGTACCTCCTTAAACCAGTACCACAGTTTTTATTACTGTAGTTTTGCAGTGCATTTTGAAATCAGGAAATGTGAGTCCTCCTACTTTGTTCTTTTTCATGATTTCAAGTAGCTGCATACATGTAGAAAAATGATTTCACTAAAAATGCAGAAAAAGCATCCAACAAAATAATAAATTTAAAAGTAGTGTATTTCATACACAACAGGTAATAGAGAAAAAAATGAATGAATTCTAATAGAAATTCAAATTTCAATATACTTAGCTACATGAACAGGAAAAAAATTCAGCATAAAAAAAGTTAATCTTCATCCTGTGAAAAATCATTATCTTTGCAGGCAAATAAATCTTAACCTAAAGCATTAATAAAACATTAATTCCTGAAATTCATAAGGTTCACTCTTACCATCATTCAGCAGTTTTGAGACTAACTTTAAAATTCCACTCTGCATCCCTAATTATCATGTATCTCCCAGATCCCTAAAGTTAACCTTGAACCTAATATTAGTCATGTATCTCTGTAGAGTCATGGGTTACACTAGGAATAAATTTAATTCCAAAATATTAGAGAAACAATCCATGCTTTACTACTTATCAGTTACGTGGTCTTGGACTGGTTATAGATGTTAAGACAACTTCTGATAGGATGTAAACGTATATTTTCAGTGGCATTTTTGTGTTGTTTGGCCTCCTACCAGAAGTTGGGAGGACGATTGCAGTGGGATAGTTTCTTTGGTGTTGTCATCTTGTGGTTCACTACTTTGAATGCAAATGGCAGACCTCTCTGTAGACGTTTCCTTAATCTTTCTCATGGATGTGTGTTTATGTATATGTGTATGTATTTATAGTTTTACATATAAATTTTTATTAAATAGTATATTTTTAAGTATAAAATAAAGCAAGATAAGCTATATACAACATTGAGGATAGTGATTACCTCTGGGGAAAAGGGAGAATAGAATTAGGCAGGGGCCCCCAGGGGCCTTTGAAGTATAAGACAGGGAGCATTTCTAATACCATAGGAGTTCCCTGTGTGTGCCTTCCAATTCTTTTACCTTCCCCTCTCCTCATAAGTAACCAAATTTATGAATTTTGAGTATAGTATTATCTTGTTCTTCTTTATCGTTTTCTTGTATTTCTATCCTTCAGCATAAAAAATTGGGTACCCAACTTACCAATCAACAGGAGAATGAATATTTTCTATTTAGACGGCTTACAAGTGTTTCAGTTACTACTTTAAGGTTTGAATTTGATATTAAAGAAAAACATATGTAAAGTGAAATGATAGGAACTTCTTATGTTAAGCAATTCTATTATTTTATGGCTTGATCTTCCATTTTTACTAAAGTTATAGGTGCACTGGATGTGGGATTTTTTTATGCACTTAATGGAGGGGGAGGCCATTGGAATATGACTTCTAGTTCAGCAGATAAGATAATGTGCAAGACTCACCTTTAGTTCCTTACCATTTTACACCATACCATTTTCACATTTTTTTCCTTCATAAAACCAGTCCATATTCCTCTCTCCCTTTTCTACCTGCCTGTTTGTCTGACCCTCATGTTTTAGTTAGTACTTTTTATACTAAAATATTTTCATCTGTGTCTGTCTTTTGTCTCTGAACTTTGGTCTCTTGAAAGAACTACCATGTATTATTCCCCCTATAGCATCAGTTCATAGTATGTATTTGATAAAAACATTGCTTGCCATGCTTAGACCCATTAATGGGAAACATGAATAGCTGATTGAGAAAAATGATAGAACCTTATTTGTCACTAATGGGTGTTGTACTGACTTACACACAGGAAGGGGTCACAGTTGCTATTTTTCCCTAGTCTGATGAGCTCTAAAGTGTTCTGAGGAATAGGAGGTGCCCTGTTTCTTTTCTCCACACCTAGCCAATAAAGGTCCAGATTATGTCTCCCAAGAACAAATTCTACCTTCTGGGATACCCTTCTCATGCTGTGGAAAAACAAAAACAAACAAAAAAAACCAAACCCATTGCTGTCGAGTCGATTCTGACTCATAGCGACCCTATAGAACAGAGTAGAAGTGCCCCACAGGCTGGTGGATTCGAACTGCCAACCTTTTGGTTAGCAGTCAAACTCTAGAAATAAAAACCCTTTGGTGCCTTCACTATCGTTAGAAGGGGGAAAATGCCCATAGGATCATAATTTTCTTTTCTAAAAGTTGTTTTTTCTGTTACCATCTAACTACAGAAGCCAAATATTTAAAATCTCCTCACTGGACCTGTTCATAAAAAAGCCTAAATGCCTCCATTGTAGCCAACTTCAGTATTGAAAGGATTTTGTATTTACATTATTTATTATATATGATACTTTGTGTTCTATACTCTGGGGCCTTCAATTACTGGGCGTCTGTTTAAGCCTAGTACATGATACTTTTCCCTTGATTTTGTTGATAATTTTACCCTGGTTTGTTCACAGGTGGTCAGGACGTAATAACCGAGAGAAGATTGGTGTTCATGTTGGCTTCGAGGAGATCTTAAACATGGAGCCCTATTGCTGCAAGGAGTCCCTGAAATCCCTCAGACCAGAATGCTTTATCTATGACTTATCTGCTGTAGTAATGCACCATGGCAAAGGATTTGGCTCAGGACACTACACTGCCTACTGCTATAATTCTGAAGGAGGTATATAGATCAGAAAAATTACTTCCTCTTTGTCTAGACTTGGAAGCTGGTATTCAGGCTTTAGTGATGTCTAAAATGGCCACTAATCATCTTAAGCAAAGCACTTGACCACTTTCTGGATTCTTTCTAGAATGTCTGCTTCTGCAGTGTTGTTCATAAAAAAAGAGGATTTGTGCAGAAAACTGTGGGTTTTGACTGTGTAAGGGCTATAAAACCAAAACACCAAACCCACTGCTGTTGAGTCGATTCTGACTCATAAGGAATAGGATAATAAGGCTAATTAAAAGTCAAAGAGAGTGGTATCTTTTCTTAAAGGCATACTTCTAAGAGCAGTTCCTGTGTTTCTGGTTTATTTCAGTTAATTTTGTTAAAGATAGGACTTCTAATGAAATGGGGGATCATAGATATTTGCAACAAACTTTGAGTTCAAGATTTAACATACAAAATTCACTTCCACTTACTGCTTCCACTGACCCCTTAGGACAGTCTTCACAAGTAGCAATGTGTTTGGATTGCGGTTGCACTTTTTATTTCCCCTTTCCCTCCTATTGTTGATGAAGAATGGAACACCCGCCCCCCACCACCCCGCAAAGAAACAAAAGAAGTGTAGACAAAAAACAATTCAACACTAAACTACCAAGAGTTAATTATAACATGATTAGTGGCAAAAGCATTAACTGGTGGAATTAGAGTATGGGGTGAGCTCATCAGATTCTGTAACTTCACAAGTACTCCTATGATAAATAAAGATAGATAATTCCAGAGTAATATACTGCCCCAAGCTTTCTCATTAAATGACATTGTTTTCCCCTCAAAATCTTATCTGTGATTGAAACTAACACCTTTTCTTAAATCCACTTCTTATCATATACTAGAAGTTTTGAAAGTTCTTTTATGAACATTAAGGTATATTTCTGTGCTTCACTCTAGGCTTCTGGGTACACTGCAATGATTCCAAGCTAAGCATGTGCACTATGGATGAAGTATGCAAGGCCCAAGCTTATATCTTGTTTTATACCCAACGAGTTACTGAGAACGGACATTCTAAACTCTTGCCTCCAGAACTCCTGTCTGGTAGCCAGCATCCCAGTGAAGAAGCTGATACCTCTAATAATGAAATATTTAGTTGATCTAAAGACAGTGGGGGCTTTTTTGTTGTGATTTGTATATATACTTTTTAAAAGGGCTGACTTAGAATTTTGAGCTTCATTGTTTTTTTACTTACGAATCAGTGCACACAGTGTTTCTGCATTTTCTATCTAGCTGCAACAAAGCTCTTTTTTACAGAGACAAAGTTAGTGTAAAGCGTGTATCAACAGGAGGTAACTAAACTTTCCAAAGTACTTGGGAGTTTTAAACTTTCAGTGTTTACCTCAGACTGGTGTTATCTCTTTTATATTTTGATGTCTTAATTGGCTCAGATCATGAATTTGTGCAATTTTCTATTGAAGTTCAGATTGCATCATTTTATAAATATTTCTTATTTATCTTTTGTAATTATTTTCTATACAGATTCTTAATAGACAGGAAAATTAGACACTTTCTTCACTAATACAGTCTTACCAAAAGAAAAAAAAAAGGCATTTCTTTCAGGCCATTTTTATCTTGAAGTCACCTTTGCCCCTTGAAGGGAGTTAAACCACTATTTTCAAAGTGTAATACGTGAAGGTATCAACTAAATACTCATCAGTCACACTCACTGATAATTCTGGAGGCTTTGTATGTTTCAGGGCTCAGAATAGACATTACTTTGGCTAATGGAACTTCATTTTAAAAAAATTTATTTTTAATAATTGTTATTTGGCATAGTCAAAACTATATCCAAATGAAAATGGCAGCTTTATAAACGGTATATTTAAGTGAACTTCGGTACTATGGACATGAAAAAATGATGGCTGGGACTTATCATGATAATTGGCAGCAAATAGGTTTTGTCCAGATTCTAATAAAACAGTCATATCAAAAATTAGAATTTAGCAAACCATATATTATGTCATATAAGTACAGTTTTTAACTTTGATATGAGTTCATTTTATACATTTAAGATTAGCTCTCTTAAAGAAGCTTTATACCATAGTCTATCTTGAGATCTGTAGTTCAAACGAATAAAAATGTCTTGAAGAGAAAACTGCATAGGGCAGAGAAGATAATTGTTCAAAATTGGCAACTGGGCAACATGTCTAACATCTCGTTTTTCTAAGTAAAGTCTAAATTTCTTACTCTTGCTAGGATTATGTGAATACTAGGAGGTGTGAGCCTCTTAGATATTCAAACACTGGGCCCTAACATTTGAAAAGATATTAAAAATGATCTAAGCTTACAATTTATTAAAGAAAAAAAAAACCTGAGGCACTCTTTATGCTCTTCCCTAAATAATCCTACTAGATCTCTTTAAAGTCCTCCTGCTGCTAACTTTATCTTATTCAGAAAGGGGAGAATCCACTAACCTCTGTAGATCATAGATAAGCTATGTAACATGGATCAGCTATGTAACAGCTCGGTGTTAACTAGATCATATATTCCTTTTTTCTCAAGTTGGTTTGTTTGCAAGCTGAAATCTTAAAAGATAATATCCTGTAGAATACTGTTTGCTATTGTGATCACCTCTTTAAGTATAAACTTGAAAAGGCCCTCTATTGGCAAATGTTTCTTAAATTTTAGAAAACAAGGCATTTGAGGCAGCTCATAGTAAAGTGCAATGAGAATGTATCACTGTACAAATCATTTGTGCCAAAAATACAACTTGAGTATAAAATGGCTAAGGTTTACAATCGTTCTTTATTGCTAAACACCTATGCAAGTTGTTACCTCAACTGTTACATAATTATACCTCATTAAAGATTTATGTGGACAAGATACATGAATCTAGCCTTTTTTTTATTTTCAAAGACAACTTTTTACTTAAGTTACTTTGCCACACATTTTAGCTTGTGAAATACTTCTTTTTCTTCTCTTAGCACCTATTTTAACAACAGTGTTTAAAACAAGTCTTGAGGAGCTGTGTTGTTTGTAATGGTATAGTTGCTTGTTTCAGTGCTTTATTTCAATGTAAAAATATATGACGAAGAAAAGTGACTTAATCTTTTACTTTAATCCCTTAAAACTAAAAGCTAGACAATGAACAGAAACTTTCAGATTTCTTACTGTACATCTTAAATCTCAGCACGGACTTCTACATTCTAAGTTGATCTAACAAAAAACAACGTGTTTTGGTTATAAAATAATTTACTAAAGGCACTATTGTTAAACATCAAACTAATAATTTGTTACCAATAGAAGGTACATTATTGTAAACATGACAAAATGATTTCAAGAGATACATGGCTAGTAGGTAAACAATACAATTTTTTTCTTAAGTGACAGCTTTCCTATTTATAAGATCATATCCCTTCCAGCCATTCCAGGGGCATGCACTGATGCTAATGCTCCCAGCAGTTACCTGGGAAGGGAACGTGGAACTCACAATTGGTTTGAGATCACTGCTGCTGAAAAGGTATTATGAAGCACCAAAATTCTTCACTCACTGGGATAATTCTAAAATTCCTAGGCTTAGAAATAAAGATATTTATACCTCCCACCAAAAAGGTATGGACTCAAAACCCCACAGGAGCTAGCTGGAGGGCCCAAACTCTGTAACATGTCCAGGCATGAATGGATGGGTTCTGCCACTAGCACATCATCACAGAAAATGGAGAAATAATTGGAAGGTAGCTATTGAACATTAGCACCATAGTAAACATGGCTCATATGGCTAAAAACTAGACTGTATATCCCACAAGGTAACATAATATAGCTCTAATGCCAAAAGAGCATCGTTTTAATGTGATAAATGACCTACGTACAGAAGTCAGCGGTTTCTCTTCCTATGAGAAAAAGTGTTAAACAAAATACAAACTAAACAGCATCCCAGAGGCAGTAAAATCTTTTTTGTACTAAAGCATACAAATTAAGGCTTTACCTTGGTACATAAGTTTTAAAACTGTGTTGGAACACTCCCAATAAATTGTTTACATGTAAGAATTCAAGCAATTCTAAAGAACTGGTAGTGGGACTCAGTTCAATTATACATCTTACATTCTACTTCTGCCCTTAGCTGCTAGAAGGAGGGTCACTGTAATCTCACTTCCTGAAATACCACCCATAATGTTAGGAATCCAAGCCACTTGACGGTAGAGTGTGATAGAATGTGGCTCACTTATGAAAAAGCCTAATAACTTCAATTTAGCTTTACTAACTAGAACAAGAATCCAAACATGGAATGTTTCCCTGGTTTTCTTTGCTACTGTAACTTTAAACACCTTTTTGGCCCTTTGACTACGCTGAATATATTTCCCAATGAAAACTACCACTGGACAAAGATCTATAAACGTTCCCATTTTACAAAATCAAGGTTTCAAGTTGGCAATATGTTCCTATTAAGTCATGTTCTCATTTAGTGGATCTTCCCAATGTAGGAGGGAAAAAAAGACAAGGACTAACACGGTCCTATAAAGAAAATCAAAATACTCCTAAATGTATATTCATTCACGAAGAAAAAATAACTCACTTTACGCATTTGTAGATTTTGTTTTACCCACTATGTCAGAAGAAAGTTTCAGTGTAGAGGCCTACAATCCAGACAAAAGGCTCTACAAATCCCTACATTAAATTTAGCTATTTCCTCTCCAGAATTATAACCACAGACATTGAAGTATAGCTCTCAGATCTGAAAATGTCTTTATTTTTTAGAAAATGGATTTCAGGAAGGTTAAAAAGCAATACCAGAGGGTATAGGTGCAGAATTGTTCGTAGTCATTCAAAGCATCCAAGTAGGAATATGGTAATATAAATATCTGAAAAGCATCTCAAACAAAATGTGTTTGTTACTCATTCCTAACTAATCTGACCTTTATAGCATTTTCCCAGACGGTGGAGAAAAACAGTTAACATTTCTGAAAGTCCTGAAAGCTTTTTCCTTGGTTAATTTAATTACATTAGAACGTTTGCCTTTGATCAAATTTTTTCCTTTTCAAACACGGATAAAAGCATTACATAGGTCCACCGTTAGACAATATGTTGCACATTAAATGTGGTATAATGTATTCCAACAAAGCTTAGAAAATAAAGGTGTTGAGGTGGCTTTTGAACTAAGTTTTAATAATCATCTCCTCTGCTGACAACTTCTTTACATGTTGGACGCAACAGTATGGTATGTTCAAATTGCGCTGTATACGATCCTTTAATGTCACATAATGGTGGATATGGATCTACAATGCCCAAGTCACACAGATTCTTCAGAGCCATCAAGTATTTACTTTCTCCCAAGCGATCCAGCCATCTGCGGCAGAAGGCAAGGGTGCCAAAGTTCTCATTGATGACATTTAACAAGTGTTTTGTTCTTGGAAGCCTGGGAGGAGAAATTCCAAGATTAACAGATGGCTGAAAAGTTACCAACTCAAAGATTTTTCCATTAAAAAGAACTCAAACCTTATCTGGGTCTTCACTGAGTAATCAAGATCCAAAGAATTGTTTGTTGTCTCTTTCAAACAATCAGAGTGTATAAATAGTCCTGTACGTAATTATAGATGCCAGTGAATAGGAGACCAACTGGAGGCCATCTTATCACGTTTGTTTCCTGTTTGTACCTGCCGTGTGTGTTAACCTCCCAGCACACACTTATCTACAGAATATAGTGAGAATATCCTTTTTGTCCATCAAGCTAAATGCCCTGCATTAGGTGTAAATCTGTCCTTCAACTATCTTCCCCAAAAGGTTAAAAAAAAATGTAAATAACGAAAACATAAAGTTTACCAATGGGAAAATAATAATAACCTAGAAATGTAAGCAAAATAATCTCTGAAATTACTTATTAGAAACTGGATCTGAAAAGAATTATTTGCCTATATCATTTCCATCTCAGTAAACCGTTTTAAGAGGCCAATTTCTGTATTACAGAAATCAATAGGACTTATTGTTAGGAGGTACAACTGTACATTATGAATGTACACCTTGAAAGTTCTTCACATTTTTTTTAAATGCTGGGAAGAGAAACTTAACAGTCATATCAAAATCAACAGTCTCACCTTATTGGCACGTGTCCAACATCAAAATTTTTCATGTAATGGGAGCATTCCATATCATCATGAACCACACCTTTTCCTGTGCTACCAAAGGTTTCAATGGCATACACTTCTCCTTCCTTAAAAAATATAAAGGTCAAGGGGAGAGAAGAAAAAATTAAAAACTAATTACAATTACCATCTCAATTTCAAGCTGAAGTATTCCCTACCTTGTGTAAGAAGCAGCATGAAAAAATCCCCTAACATTCCTTATCCATCCTTCCCTATTTTATCACCTTAGCAGTTTTTTGTCTATCTGTGCCCTACCACCCCCCACCCCCCATTAGGAAGTAGGTTTTACATGGGCAGGGACTTCTTTGTTTTGTTCACTACTATAAATAACTCCAGTGCCTAATAAAGACACTGGTACATAGTAGATGCTCAATAAATACTCATTAAGTGCTGAATAATCAATCCTTTGACAGCCCCAACTTCCACAGCTGATTCAGCCCGCACTGTTCTGACCAGATACGATACACTTTGGACATTCACACGGCCCAATTCCCTGCCATGTTTGGTAGGGATGGCCAAGTTTAATTTGCTCAACATACTGTATTATTTTAAACTGAATGATCACTAGCTTCAGTTTGGGAAAAAAAATCAAAATGCTTTTCATAAAAAAAAGTGTTAATGGCATACAAACCTCCATCCTTGTTGCCTCTCCTCCTTTCACAATGGGCACTGTTTTCCCAGCATGTATTCTATATGGCCCAATGGAATGTCCATTTAGATTACGGATTGGCTTCACTGTTATAATAAACAGAAAAATAATAGCTATTTGGGGTCTCTAGAAGTACAAACAGATGCTTGGCTTTTTGGAACACAGTTCAAGCATTTATTTAAAAACAAGATATGGCACTACTAGGTAACTTTAGTTAAATATGAATTGGAAATCTAGCAGAATATGAAAAGATGTTTAACACAAGGCTATTGGTTAAAAATTATAAGTAAGGGGGATGGAGGAAAAAAGAATTACGGGATGAGGACACAATGGGGGTCATGTAAGGAGGTTATTTTCAAGATAAAGTGTCATATACACGATGATAAACATGAAAAATGTGTTTGTATGGTTATGGACTAAAAGGTAATGTGATACTTTCTGTTAAGAGTGACAGAAAAATTTGGGAATGGATAAGGGTGACAGTTGAATAACATGATGACCAAAGCTAATGCCACTGTACTGTACATATGAAGATTGTTGAAATGGCAAATGTTTTGTTACATATACATTCACCACAATAAAAAAGTAATATGAAAATGAGGATGTTGTGTTGAAATGGTAGGATTTATGAAGTCTTAAATTTTATTATTACATCATTTCAATACAAATGTTTAAAAAATCTAAAGTACCAAATGTCCTGAGATCCATGGTAGAAATAATAGACACACTGTGATTTATTTATATAACAGAACACTATCCAACAATAAAAATGAAAATCCAGGGATACATGCATGCAACAAATGGAATAAAGTCTAAACATAACATGAGCAAAAGAAGGCACAATGATATACAGTGTATAACTCCGTTTATATAAAGTTCAAAATTAAGCACAATTAAGCTATTGTTTAGGGATGTACAATTAGGTAGTAAAGACATAAAGAAAAGCAAATGCAAACAACAGTCAAGTTTAATCGTTCACTAGAGAAAGTGCTGAAATTGGGAAGGGGTACATGGCATTGTGGCTTTTCTAGAGTGCTAGCAATATTCTGTTTCTTGAAGGGTGAGGTTATATAGCTTTTACAACTGTTAAGTTGGATTTTTATGGTTTGTGCATTTTCAGTGTTACTTATATTTCACAATAAAAAAATGTAAAAAAAAAAAAAGGAGCCATTGCAGCACTATTCACAATTGCTAAAAGGTAAAAACAACCTAAATGTCCAGCAACAAATAAACAAAATGTAGTATATACAAACAATGGAATATTACCCAGCCATAAAGAGGAAGAAAAGTTCTGGTACATGCTATGACACAGATAAACTTTGAAGACATCATGCTGAGTGAAATCAGGCAGGCACAAAAGAACAAATACTGTATGCTCCCAGTTATATAAAATATTTATAACAGGGAAGTTTATTAGTGGTTACTGGGGCAGGAGGGAGGAGGAAAAGGGGAATCATTGCTTAGGGGGCACTAAGTTTCTGTTAAAGATGATGGAAAAATTTGGAAACCAATAGTAGTGATGGCTGAACTTGAAAGGGCTCATTACGCCTCTTCTGAGTCTCCCGTTCCAGGGCTTTGATCTGTAATTTTTCCCATTCTGGGTACTGTGGTGAATCACCCAAATTGTAAAACTTCAGGTCTGTTCCTGTTTTCCTTCGTTGGCCGTAACTGAACTGGTTCAAACCAGTTCAAAGCCCTGGTTCTTAGAGGTTATAGGCTTTCTCTAAGCTCAAAGTCAGACCTGCCTGACCCCAAAGTGTGCTTTCTTCATCATCCTACGATACTTCCTACTTAAACATAAGCAACCTTAGAGTATTTCTGGTTTGCACCGATACTTATAGGATTAGAGATCTGTAAGAGAAGAGTATCTAAAAATCAAAGCAATAATGAAGCTATAAATACAGATGAGAGAGAAGACTTAATGTTGCTGACAAACGGTCTAGGCAGGAAGAAGGGAAATGAAGCTGTGAGAGAGTGGCACATTAGGGAAATGGAAAGAATCAAGGGAACTGAAATCTGCATATAAAAAAGTAGATGTAATGGAAGTAAATAAAATAACAGTAGAAATAAAGAAAATGAAAGAGATGGGAACAGAAAGAATGGCTGTTTAAAAGAATAAAATTGTGGTGAGTTTCAGTATTTGGACATAGGAAGGGACTGTTATGGAGGTGAAAATTGCCAAGGCAGTCAAAAGACTGGTGATGCCTAGGCTGCAGTGCCCATACAGATACTGAAGCCACCTAGCATGCCAACAGAAGTTAGGATGGTACCAAGAGTCAAAGTTAAGGAGTAGAATGGACTTCAGAAATGAGAGCAACAAGGACAGGCAATGTCAGATCTCAGAGGAAGAGCCACTTCTGCACTTAGTGGAAGCATATAAATGGCAACAGGGGAATAAAGAGAATGCTGAATGACAAAGAGTTTTTATTTGCGGGCAAGGAAGCAAGCAAGGGCAAGAAAGACGATAAAAGAGAGAATCCAGTTATGGGTAATGCAGGAAAAATTCTGTAAAAAAGTTATTAGACCAGGGCTAACAGAGAGCAATGAGCATAGATTAGGAAGGAGAATGGTGGCCCTGGGGGGGGGTCAGATAAACCATGGGAGTTTAAAGAGGGACAGACCAACTGAGATGAGTGTAGAACACCAGAAAGCACAGAGCCTCTGGGACCATATCCCTAAGGATGGGGAAAACTAGGAGGCAAAAGGAACTGAGGAGGATTAAAGAACGACACAGAAGGAATTAACGGGCCTTCAAATTCTGAATGCAACTCCTCATCCTCCCCTCCAAAACTGGGGCGTCATCATTGGAAAGAGCCTCTAGCTTCTTTCGAGCCTTGATCTTGCTAGTCACAGAAAACCTAGTCTGCATTTTGGCCACCCTAGAGCAACAGCTATCAAAAAAGCTTGGCAACAGTTCCCAACTAGTGACCACAGTACTCTTATAATGCTCTGAGCAGGTCAGATCCCATTTTCTTTCTTTATATCCCTAAGATATAAAGGATGAAGCAGGTGGCCCAAAGAAAGCACTTAATTGTAATTTACACAATTAATTCCGCAGAACTCATGTGCATTTCAAAATAATGTAAAGATTTTAAAGAACATACCTTGGTATGTCTTCCCATCTATTTCTACTTCATAGGATTCCATAACTTCTTGGATGGCCTCACCAACATCACACAGACGAACATCAATTCCAGCGCACTAAAAACAGAATTGTGTATACTCTGTAATTCAAAGTGTAGAATTTCACGGAAATTCAATTTCTTCCTAATATTTTAAAATAATGGACAATTAGAAAAACTGTTCTGCACATTATAACTTCCCCTATGAAAGCCCTTGGTATATCCATTAAAAAAAAAAAACTCACTGCCATTGAGTTGATTCCGACTCACAGCAACCCTATAGGACAGAGTAGAACTGCCCCATTTGGTTTCCAAAGACCGCCTAGTGGATTTCAACTGCCGATCTTTTGGTTAGCAGCCATAGCTCTTAACCACCATGCCACCAGTGTTTCCACATACTATATTACAATTATCCACTTAAGGCTTTAAGAACAGGGGACCAGGTCTTATTCACCTTAATAGCCCAAAGACCTCAAACAGAATGTAAGTAAATGCTTAAAATACACTGAATGAAATGGTGCTTAGAGTTCACATACCTTTATTCCAGTGTTAGTGGCATCTTTTACAGCTTTTAATAATGTATCATATTTGGGATTAAAAGTGACAGTAAAAGCACAGTCAATAATCCTACCTGAAAGAGAAAATTCCTCTTTAAGTTTACTTGTCAGCTAGTCAATTAATCTATTTTATAGCATTTACTCTATTAATTAACCTTGCTAGTTAACAGGAAAAATAAAACGACACGCTCAAATAAGGACAGTACCTCAAGTACCGAGATCATTCATAATCAAAAGGGCAAAAAAGTATGAAGTATATGAAGGTTTTAGAATGAAAAGAAAAATTCCAGGGTTAGTACATATTACTCCAAGGCAACACCAATTCAGTACTCATGCAATCATGGGAAAAGATAAACAGAAACAAATTAAAGCAAGAAAAGATTAGGGAACTCAGGAACAGCAATGTAGGTGTTATGGACTGAACTGTGTCCCCCAAGATATTTTGAAGTCCTAACCCCTGTATCTGTGAATGTGACCTTGTTTAGGGAAATAAGACTTTTCTTTGTAGATGTTACCAGTTTAAGGTTCTCATTTTGGAATAGGGTATGTCCTAATCTTTTCTGAGGGGTGTCTTATAAAAGGGAAGAACAGTCACAGAAAGTGACACACTGGGGAAGACATCATGTAAAGATACATCTGTAAGGGTTCTGGACAGAGCTGGAGAAGGATGTAGAACAAAATTCTAACACACACAAAAAAGACCAGATTTACTGGCCTAAAAGAGACTGGAGAAACCCCAAGAGTATGGCCCCCAGACACCCTTTTAGCTTAGTGGTAAAGTCACTTCCGAGGTTCACCGTTCAGCCGGGGACTGGACAGCCCCATAAAACAAAACGGGACTAATGAGACACAGCAGTCCAGGGATAAGGACTAGAAGGCAGAAGGGGACAGGAAAGCTGGTGACAGGGAACCCAAGGCTGAGTAAGGGCAGTGTTGACGTGTAGTGGTGTTGTTAACCATTGTCATAGCAACACGTGTACTGTTTAATGAGAAACTATTTTGTTCTGTAAACCTTCATCGAAAGTGAGAATAGCAGCACAACTGGAGAAGTGTAGTCGATGTCACTGAACTACGCATGTAGAAATTTTTGAAATGGTGTATCTTTCGCTATGTATATTTTCACCAAAAAAAAAAAAAAGGTTGAGAAGGGAGGACATGTCGTGGGGTTGTTAATCAATGTCATAAAACAATACGTATACTACTGTTTAATGAGAAACTATTTGTTCTGTAAACCGTCACCTGAAGTACAAAAAAAAAAGAAGATACATCTGTAAGTAGCAAAGGAACGCCAAAGACTGCCTGTACAAACCAGAAGCTAGAAGAGAGGCACGGAAATGCTCCTCTCTCAAAGCCCTCACAAGGAAACAGCATGGTCGATACCCTGATTTGGACTTCTAGACTCCAAAACTGTGAAAAAACAAATTTCTGTTCTTTAAAGCCACTCACTTGTGCTATTTTGTTACTGCAGCCCTAGGAAACGAAGACAGTGGGGCAGAGAAAATGTACAGTACCATAGGACCCAAAGCACCAGTCTTAGCTAGCTTCTCCAGTTTAGTATAACCTTAGCTAAGTACTTCATCTAAGTTTGTTTTCTCACCTGTTATGTGAGAATAACAAGGTACTTACTTAACAGGATTTTTGGGAGAATTTAGAAAAGCTAAGCTAATATAAAGGTTCTAAATAAATGTTTATTATTCCAATAAATGATGTCTGAAACAAAGACCTGAACCATTAAGAAATGTAGGATTTTATTTTTTCATGCCTTGATACAAAGGGTAATAAACCTCAATTATCCAGTGGCTTTCACCTTACTCCAGTTAGTGGGATTGCTTTAAACTAAATCTGCTTCAGCAAAGCTATACTGAAAAGTATAGAGGTAAGAACAAAATTTGGGAGTTGAGTATCTATAGCGCCATCCAATAGAGAAGAGACTAGAGTTTTGAGGAAGGGGAAGAGTGGAGTAGGAATTATTTCCAAGGACTCACCACTTATATGTGTTCCAAAGTCTATCTTACAGATGTCATCATACTGTAATACTGTTGTGTCACCAGCATTGGGAGTATAATGGGCTGCACAGTTATTGAGAGAACACCCAGTAGGAAATGCCAGACCTGCGTTTAAGCCGTTCTCTTTTATTAGCTTGCGTGAACAGTCCTCCAACTTTTCACTAAGAAAAAAAGAAAAGGGAATTTGTTTACATTTACATTCTTACCTTTATATCCCTCACAACTCAAACACAGAAAGCTTATTAAGTAATTACTTATATTGATTTTTCCCACTGTATTATAAATGTTTTGTGTCTTACTCTAAGTTACTGCAAAATTTTAACCTAATCTGAATAATTAATTTCAGATAGCAAAATAATAGGTTTCCAGACAGAAAATACACATCAGTCTAATTTGTGTATTTGCATGTGAGCATCAGTATACCTGCGTACAAAATATGGTGGCTGAGGTACAAACTTATGTTGCTCTTATGGTTTCCTTGTTACATCTACATTACTAGAAGAATTTAGAAGAGATCTCTAGAATATTTATTTGAAATTAAGTCTTTGCAAAGTGGTAATGAAAGCCAAACATTTCAACTGGAGAGTTAGCACTAAAAAAGTTTTTTGAAAATCATGTTCTTACAATGACATTCATTTTACCAGATTTCTATCATTGTCATCCCAGGCTTGATCCAGCTCATAACATATTTTCTAACTTGTCGATGTGCTTCTGCAGCTTCTCGAAAATCATTCCAAATCTCTTCACTAGCTTGATCTAATGCTTTCTTTTCTTCACTTGTAGTTCTCCAAGCAGCTGTTCTCCTTTAAAGTAGGCATAACACAGTATTAGTCCATTTAAGAAATAGCAGAACAAGCATAAAAGCTGTGGGAGATAAAAATATACTAAGTAATTTAAGACATGTTAGAAAGAATAAGTTACATTTTCAGTTTCTTTGATTAAATGTCAACCACGTTTCTAAACTATAAGCAGCCATATACTTGCATTCAACACAAATCAAGTTATCCTTTTTTATAAGACTTTTAGGGGAAAAAAAAAAATCCTCAAGTGTGATTTCATTCACAGGCAGAGGGACTAATTCCCTGCCAACATAAAATGAGATGGAGAGAAAGGAAAGAACCAGAAAAGTCAGAAGAGTTCTAGAAAACAAAGCAGGTGAAAAAAATCTTCCTTCCATTCAGGGTAATATATACTTAAGAGGCTTCAGAGGAGCACAAAAAAAAAAAAAATTAGCATTTAACTTTGCTAATAGGGCACATGGAAACCCTGGGGGCATAGTGGTTAAGAGTTCTGCTGCTAACCAAAAGTGGATTTGGCAGTTTGAATCCACCAGGCGCTCCCTGGAAACCCTATGGGGCAGTACTACTCTGTCCTATAGGGTGGCTATGATTCAGAATTGACTCGATAGCAACAGGTTTTTAACAGGGGACATACTGTTTCAAAGACCTGACCTGGACATTTACGTATGACTTCAAAACAGATAATAGTATGTGTGCTTTTGCAGGATTTTTCTAATTGGGTGTGTGTACCTATACCTCTATCTTATCTATTTATTTATTAGAGGTTATCTTCATTGAAAGATATGGCTCACTTTCTAAAAAAAACTCCAGGAGTAACAAACAGATTTTTATTATTCATTATCTGAAAACGAGGTGTTCCATTAATGATACCTTTTAAGCAACACATTTTCAAAAACATTGTTTTAGAATAAAAATCTTCCTAAAATTTGTTACAACTTCCAAACATTCTTAAATAGACTAAATATACAATTCATAATTCAGTGATTACTGAGGTATAACATTACACTAAAGTGTAAATGTGATGCCTCCAAGGAGTTACTCCTACTCGCCTCTAAACCAGGGACTGGCAAACTACAGTCAAATCTGGCTTGGTGCCTGTTTTGTAAATAAAGTTTTATTAGAACATAGCAATACCCATTCATTTGTCTATGGCTACTTTCAGTCTACAGCAGCAGAAATGAGTAACTCTCGAGGCCTAAAATGTTTTCTATATAGTAAAATATTTACTATGTTTTGCAATATTTACAAAAAAAAAAAAAAAAGTTGACCCAACTCTACTATAAAGGTCCCTAAGTTAATGCCTCAAAATGCTTTCTGAGTTTTGCTGTGTGCCACTGTCAAGTTCATAACTCCTCCCTACTGCTGTTGCTACTGTGTGCCAACATCTAGCACCCCTAATTTGCTACAAGGCCCGAAAGGGATGTCCTATGTGAACTTTGTGGCAAAGGGGTACTTAAGCATCACAGAGGCTTCTTTGGCTTGTTTTCTGTTTGGAAATATATTTTACATTTACTGATGCTCTCTGATAATCAAAATACCACAGTACCATCAATTTAAGTCAGTTTTAAACTCCAGAAGTATTCAAATGTATATGAATTACTTTTACAGGAATAGTGAAAACTCACAGCAACGTCTAACTAAGTGCTCAAACGAACACCCAATCTACCTATAAGATCCTCAGACTAGAAGGTAATAGGGTTAACCTCCTTTAAAAAGTAAGGTGGCTCAGCATTTTTCAGCTGCAACATACTTACGGTTGGTTCACTCCATGCTGGGACAGGTAAATTAGATTATAAAGTTGCCACAGTCTCCTAACCTACTTGTAAATCCAACCCTTTCCCTCCCACTAGTCCAAAAATCTTTCCTTGGAACTAGGAACCTGAATGTTCTAAGTTTAAATCATTTTCACACATAAGGGTTATAGTCCTGAATCAATTTTTAAACAAAATACATCACAGTTCTTCACCTCTTAAGATAGGCCATAATTCTGGCACTATATTACAGCTGCACTTAGTAGTAAAGGTTGAAGCACTTGACTCAAAAGCCAATGGTTTTGTGAAAATAAAAACAACAGCAAATATCTACTCCAGAATGATAAGAAGGAAAGACCATGTCCACAGAGAACTTCCCATGGCCTTGCCATAGAAACCATACATCTAGGGTCATAATCAATTCCCATTCCTGCCCCTAACCCAGCCAACCGTAAGATTTTTTAAATACACTTCTTACAGGTTAAAATGTGAGTGTAATGAAATCTCAAATGCTGTTTTACCACATTTTAGAATCAGAACATAATACAATGAAGATTTCCAATACTGAAATCAACCGATTTCACACGAAGGTCTTGCATTTCTAAAGACTGCATGGCTGACTCTTAGAAGCACTGGATTCTTCAAAAGACTATAGAATGATCTGCATCAATCACAAATTGCATTAAAGAAATTTTTTTTGCTAAAAGTCTTGTTCAAATTGAAAGTCATTAGCAATACTTGAGAAACCTACTGACAGGGCCTACAATCATATTTTCAGGCCCAAATGAAGGACATAATTTGTTATGAAGAAGCCTCTCCTTTTTCCTCCATTTGATCTTCTGATATTCAGTCTATTTAACAAAAACACAGAAATTAATTAAATATGACAGAAAACAGCCATTCTCAGCTCTTAACAATTATTCCGAAAGGCAATTAATTCATCAAACTGACAGAGGCACAGCAGAAATGCTTTTTAAATATATTATTATGTCTGTAAAGGATTCCCTGGGTGGTGCAAACAGTTAAGCACTCAACTACTATCCAAAAGGCTGGCAGTTCAAATCCACCCAGATGCATGTTGGAAGATAGGCTTGGTGATCTGCTTCCAAAAGGTCACAGCCTTGAAAATCCTATGGAGCACAGTTCTACTACGTACACATGGGGTTGCCATGAGTTGGAATTCATTCAATGGCAACTAATGACAACATGTCTGTAAAACAAAACTATCAAAACTACTACTTGAAAGACAATCTTTCTAGGAAGTTTAGAGGGTATGTAAATTCCTTACGCCTCTTTCAGATTACTGAGTCTTCAATATTTTATCATTTTCACAAGAAGAAAAATAAATAAGTAAAACCAAAAGATACAAAGGTGTTTGATTATTAATTAATTTCAGATAGTCATAGGTATTTCTGAATCCACTGCATAAATAAATTCTATCTGTATTCTTAAAGCAAAGGAGCACCGGTGGCACAGTAGTTAAGTGCTTAGCTGCTAACCAAAAGGTTAGTGGTTTGAACCCACCAGATACTCCACAGAGGAAAGATGTAGCAGTCTGCTTTCATAAAGATTTTTAGAGTACTATATGCCATATTTGCAAAAACTATTTTAAAAATATGTTGCCTTTAACCCAAAATAATTTTAAATGCATGCAAATATGACAACTCCTTCCTCTGAAAACCGGTACTTAAAGGGAAAAAATAAAGCACTGATCCTGCCTTTAAGAAGAAATTATAGTTGGCCTCCAGTTGATGAGAGAAAACTCTTCTTATAGAAGAATGTCAGCTAATGTAGAAGGAATGAAAAAATTAGAAATTCATCATTTTGTAGTTCCCAATGAAATAAATGATAGAGCAAGGATCATCAATGGCTACTAAAACAATTAAGTGTAGTGCTGTTGAAGAATAGTCCACTGGTACTAAAGTACACCCCCAGATTACTTAGAAACGCAAAAAGCAAACAGTACTTTAAAAAAGAAAAACTGGTATTCATTAACCAAGTGATCAAACTCAGTAAAACTAACAGTAGGACAAACTGATACAGCATCTGATGCAACAGAATATGATACAGTATGAAATACATAGTATCACAATATATCCCTATCAAAAAATTCTGATCTAAATCTAATCAAGCTGTTATACCTAATTTCAATTTATAGAAAATACAGGAATAGAAGAAAAAATTATTACAAGCAAAAAACTGAACAATTCCCAGAATGTGAAACTTTCTAGAACTAGCCCAGTCTCTTCAAAAAGTCAATGCAATGGTGGGAAAGAGAAGAAGCTGGGGACCCTAACCACACGCAATGCATGAACCTTGATTAACCAAAAAACCCTAACCTGTTGTCATGGATTCCGACTTACAGCAACCCTACAGGACAGGGTAGAACTGCCCCATAGGGTTTCCAAGGCTGTAAATCTTTACAGAAGCAGAATGCCACAATATTCTCCCACGGAGTGGCTGGCTGGTGGGTTCTAACCACCAATCTCTCGGTTAGCAACCAGAGCACTTAACCACTGCACCACCAAGGCTCCATGATTAGATTCTTGATTAGAACCTTGATTTAAATCCTGTTTTTGTGCAAAGGTGGGTGGGAGAAACAGCTAAAAAGATGCTATGAAGACAAATGGAAAAAATCTAATAGAACTAGGTATTTACATGATGGTGGCAAATTACTGTTAGTTTACTTAGATGTGATAATTTGGAGAATGTCATTCTTGGGAGACGCTTGAAGCTTTTAGAAGTGAAGAATCAAGATGTCTCAGAGTTGTTTTTAAATGGCCCAGCAAAAACAAAAACTCAACAAGAACAAAACAACATACATAGCCAGAGACAAAGCAAATATGGCAAAATGTTAAGAACTAGTCAATCTAAGGAGTGAGTTCATTATACTATTCTTTCAACCCCTCTGTGTCTGAAAATTTTTATTAAAAAAAGTTGAAAACAATGTAAGGATATTTATCCCACCATTGTTTATAGTAGTAACTAGAAATACACTATATGTAAAATAAGAGAGAATAAGGCAAATAAATTACGGTATATGGATAGAGCACAATATTATTCAGCCATTAGAAATACTGCGGGTTTCTTTACTCACATGAAGCAAATTTAAAAAGGGGTTATAAAACTGTTTTGCAGTGTAAATCCATCTTGAAAATAATATGTCAACAAGTAGACGAAATCAATGCCTTTCCTCCACTCTACCAACAAGCATCCAGAAATGGAAATCGGAATTATTTCATTCATATCACTAACAAAACCCATAAAACACTTAACAATAAATTTAACAAGAGAGGGACAGGACCTACCTGGAAAAACATACCATGACACTGGATGATAAGAGAATGTGATAAAATTATTAATTTTCAAAAACTATTAAACATAATGCAATTCCAATCAGAATTCCACAAGGGCATTTCTCCCTCTCTCCCTCTCTCTGTGCGAGTGTGTGTGTGACTATGACTGAAAATAGCCAAGAAAAGTGTAAAAAAAGAACTATGGTTGAGTGTGTTTGACAGGGGAGAACGACTTGCCTTAACAAAGTGTAAGAATATTTTATCAAGTCTCTGGTATCAAATCAAAATAGTAACAGCACAGGAATGGACAAATAGATCAGCGGAGCAGAACAAATAATCCGAAAAAAATTCTGGATGAGCAAAAGTTACCATAAACAAAGCCAACAATCAAAAGATGCTCAAACTCACTAGCAGTCTGGGAAACATGAACTAAAGTATCAATATATTTTTTGATTCAGCAATCCCATACCTAGAAACTATCATATAAAACTACCAGTATATGAGCATACATATATATAAAGAGAAATGGTTACTGCAGAATACTTTACAGTAGCAAAAAATACTGGAGACAAAACGAATGCCCATCAATAAGATGAATGGCTGAACAAAGTATGATACATTCAGACTATGTAGTATTATGAAGTCATTCAAAGGAATATTAGAGCTATTCCAGCCGACTTGGAGGGACTTCCAAGAGGTAACACCGAATGAGAAAAGCAAGGTAGATGAAAGTATGCCTATGATTTCATTTTTGAAAAATAATGACCGAAACATTCCCTTTACATAAAAACAGACATATATGTCTACATATATGAGCATAAAAAATACAGAAGGCTACCTGCTAGGTGGTTAGCACAGGTATGGAAGAAGGAAAAGGAAACAAGCAAAAGAAAAAAAAGAATCTGAAAGATTATATTTAAAAATGTGATAACATTATATATACTATGGGACTTTATGTATTAAAATTACATGTGTCTGTGACATTTTAAAAATAAATGCTTTAAGACAGGGATAGTGATTGATGAATTCAAATTCAAAGAAGCCCGTGCCATAACATTCTAGAACCTTATAGGCTTATGCCCTAAGAGTATTCACAACTGAGTGTGAGGAAGGTTGAAAATATAACACTATGTTCTTTTCTATGCTTAAAGAAGAACAATGATGTCTTTACAGGCCTACAAAATAGCACTACAGTAGAAGCTTTCTTAGCCAACTATTGCAACCACTGGATTAACCAATGCTCTTGATTCACTCTGTACAACATACTGATCAATGCCCATGGTACTCTAAATATTAACGGTTGACAGGCTACTATTCTGAATAATTACTATAGAAACAGCTAACAATGCTTACAGTGCGTCTGTCACATATATTATTTTTTCTCACAACAACTCTATGAAGTGCCCATTTTATGGAAGACAAAAGCAGAGATGTGATAAGTTACTTGCCCAAGTCACAAAGCTGGGACTGAAAAGCAGATAGTTTGGTCCCGGCTTCCAATCTCATAACCACTCTGTATACTGTCTCTATGAGCTTCTGCTCACCAGTTGGAATACATCCTTTAAGAACACTTCTAAGAATCAAGTGAATTTGTCCCCAGATCTGCTTAAGCCATTTGAATTTGTTACAATAATTGTGTCTTACTATGTAAATGCATTACATAGTAAGAATTGTTTCTATGAAAATTAAATTGACTGCTTTGAAAAGTCTCAATTAAGGCCAAGTCACCAAAAAATACTTTTGTCAAATTATGTGTAAATAAAAAATGTAAATGGTTTAAAAAAAAAAAAATTGTGAAGATGCAGGCATCAGTCCACACAATACTCAGTTCCTATTCCTTTACAGAAACCCAAATTGGAAACCATAGACACTGTATCATGGATACAGTTTATGGAAGAAGGGGG